ACTAGGCAYCTATGAGTCACTTGTTCTTCCTCCCACACAGTTCAGCTGTGGTGAAGACAAGTAAGGTCAGATGACAGTCAGTTCATACTCTTAAAGAAAARTCCACAAACAGAAGATCATTTGCTTTGTTTTTTCTTCTTTATACTGCATTTATTACAAACTCCATTCAGAAATAGACATAAAAACATGAGGCTTTTATACCTCATCTCTCTTTGGCARTTGGAAAGTTACACTCAGATTTTCACTTTGACTTTTTAGAAAAATGAAATGTATGGATGTGCATTGATTCATTAAACATGTTTAAGTCCACATCTTGGAATTTTAAGCTTTGCTTGAAAAAACAGGACAAAGTTATGTAGAATTTAACTGTTTAATTAAAAAAATCATTTAACTTTTTAAGCCTGTCTTTAACATTCATCTCACTTTCCCATTGAATTCATCAACTTTCATTGCGCAAAGAATTTTATTGACTTTCCAAATGTAAAAAAACTATGTCCCCACATGTTGACTGTAATAAACACTGTGGATTATTAGCTTGACGAGGCTGCAACAGTGGCAACCCACCTACACAGGGTGGATCTGAGGTCTATCTTTGATCCCACCCTGCAAAATACATTGTTTTTACTTCCCTGAGAGTTAATGATATACTTGTACTATGCTAATTTTCTTTGGTGCTTTTAATTGTAGTGTTTGCAAAAGCCCACCTGATATTCCTCCCCCACATGGCTATAAAAAGCTCAAAATTCAACACAATCAACACAACTGCCTACATATGAGTGAACTATTGCTTAAAAACTTGAGTACTTTTAAAAGTCTGGACTTTAGGTTCATTTTGTATAAGGATTTTTGAAATGGTATGCAGCTCTCTTTGTTTTAGTTGTACATCCATCTTCCATTGTTATCMCACTAATTCACAAGTATTGGGAAATTACAATAATCTTGTTACACATAAAGCATCAACTACCTCAATAAGACTCGAGTTTTGTCTCAAATAAGCTTTTTTCCATTAAAACTTGGCATTGACTTGAATATTACACACCTTAAGTAACAGCATACTACTTTGTAATGACCTACGTCTTGTGAACTGATACTTGAAATTTAAGAGTTAGTATTAGTTATGTTTGAGAGCTCTGTCATTGTTCATAGGTTTGCCTCTCATATTTATGAGTGTCAAGCATTCCCTTCAATAAGGACCTTTCATTCTCTTCACATGGGAACAGGTCAGCAAATGTCAGTTCCTGTAATTCATATTTCATGTAAAAATTGAAATGTCTCGCCCATCCATCAGACAGAATCCAATTGTCACAGAGATTTCTGTTTGGAAAAGACCTACTATTGTTAGAAAACAAAAATCACTCATTTTACTCTGTGTCAAACCGATAAATTAAAAAACAAAACTTCAACTTTTGAAAATATCAACAAATGATAAATTAGAAATTAATCAGAATTTAAACAAAAATAT